CTGGGCGCGGCGCTGTCTTGGAGCCGTCTGGGGGCGCGGTCTCTGGCCTGGCAAATGCGCCAAATCACGTTTGCTCAACAAATATTGAGGTATTCTGCTTTGGCGCGTGCCTGGCCACGCACAAATTAGCATGTCCACTCATAATTGTCCTTTCGTGAAGAGATGACCCGCTGAGATAACTGTCCATAGTTGTAACTGATTTGCGCTTCGTCTGTTCAGCGCCTTTTCTAGTTCCTTTCAGCATTTGATTTGCCATTTCGTTTTTATTCGACTATCGCGTGCTGCTAATGAGCGTAACTCTTTGCCTACTTTTTACTATCTGCTCTACTATCTACGCATTGCTATTGATTTCATGAGGACTCCAAATGTCACAGGCTTACTAAATGTCACGAAAATATTGTTATGATCATAAACACGTTTTCGCTAGTTAAAGGATTTTACTTCGTTCTCTCTATATATGTATTTGTCGTGGTTTAACTTCAATTTTATTTGAATGCGAACGATTGGAGGAAACACAGAAACTTTTCATTTACTATGTCAGGTAAAAGTTCTTCTATACATTAAGAATGATGATTCTGATTTGTTTGGGTAAAAAACACGCTTTAATAAATTTATTAAAAATATCGCTGTCTGCCTTTGAACAGGCTTATATTTTATACAAATATTCAGCTCAAGCTTTTTAAACGTTTTCATTGCAGCTCACAGATTTCTTACTTTGGCCCCAATGCTGGTGCTCGTGAACAAGTAGTTGAACTTAAATATTTTATAGCTAAAAGAAGATAAAGATAATTCCATACTTTCGCACTGAGTTATAAGCAAGAATTATTCATTTGCAAAAAGTAATCTTCTACAAGTGAATACGTGAATGAAAAGATAATATCAGGTCTATATATATATATATACAATCAGTATTTATGTGCACACGGCTTATATGTAATATGATAATAGTATATAAAATCATTATTATGCATACTGAGAGCACACACATGATTATGAAGCTATAAACCGAAGCAGAGTCAGAGCCCAGTTCCAAGGCTCTCGCAGGGTTTCTGTTTAACTATATCATTCGTTTTTATGTGCTGAAATGTTTCACTTTTCTATAATTGCCTGGGCTTGCCGCAATAACGCTAAATGTGAATGTGCATTAAAAAATGCAAATGACAGAGAGAGCGAGGGGGAGAGAGGGAGGCAACGAGATAGGACGTGAGGTGGAATGGCATAATTAAGTGAGAATACAAGCGATAACAATCAAATGAAATAGGTGTAAATTTAATTTGTCTAATGTCTCAATTTGAATATATATGCATGTGGATATATGCAAAGGTATGTTAATAATAATGGATAAATCGCACCCATGTCCAGGGCGCAAATCCACCCCGAAGCAGGCAACGAGTCGAGTCGGAATACGCATTAAAATTCGAAAATTGAAACACGTCTTGCTCACCTTTCGTGGCGTGGGGCGCCGCTCGCTCTGAGATGCTGCACAAGTTGAATTTTAAAATTCAGAACACTTCGGGTGTCATTTACAGGACAACAACCAATTGGCAAGTGGAGCGCGGGCTAACTGAATTTGGGCCATGTCAGTGCGAAGCGCCATTCGACGCATTTTTAAATGTTTCCAACACCCAGCTGCTTGTCTAGCTGCCCTGACATATCACTACGTCAATTGGATATTTAAATACAGGCGACACTTTTAATGGCAAAAAGTCAAGCGGGATCTGAGACGGGGGCGCCAGTGTGGGCGGGTCGGCGACTTCTGCTTATTCCAAACACGTATTGGTCGCGTCTCGTGCCTGTTGATAAATTGAATATTGAAAAGAAATAATTCAATTTTGACACTTGCCTTGGCCATGACACTGGAATAGAAGGAGAGAGAGAGGGGAAGATATATATATAGAAAGAGAGAGAGAGAAAGGAATTCAATCTATTTGAACTTTAGACTGAAAAGGTATTAGAGGCATTAGCTCATTCGATTTGACAGTTGCCGTGGCCATGAAAAAGGGGGAGATGAAGAGAAAGAGGGAGGAAGAGAGAGAGAGAGACAGAGAGAGAGAGAGAGAGGAAGATAGAAATTGAGCGAGAGAATGAGCATTATACAGGTACTCAATCTATGATCTAGCAATGATATTATCCGATTAGACACTTGCCTAGAGAGAAAGAGTGAGAAAGAAAGAGAAAGAGAAAGCGTGCGGGAGAGAATTTATAAGAATATGAAGAAGCTCTGGCTCTGTGAGTAAAGCTTGAATTGTAGAATTTTTCGTCTTTTTCTGTGAAATATTTTTTGAAATTCATATTCCAAAACAAATCGAGCAAAATTAATAAATTCTAAAAACAGTTAAATCATAATTCTATGCTAAGACTCATAATAAAATTGTGTTGAAATTTGGCGAGCTTTATAATATTACTCGGTTTAGATGCGCTTGCGTCAGAAGTTTATGATGTGGCATAAAAACGTCTCATTTGGGACTCATTTAATCCGCCAAATTGTTTACACGCGCAACATTTCACCTGGCCCATCTTACAAATCCAGCGCGTAACCCAAACCCAAACCCAAAGCCAAGCCCAATCCAAACCCTAACCCAATCGCAGTTGAAACAACCCGCAGGTCGGCGAAACAATCGCGAATTTTGGAATTCATTCGAAAATCGTTTAACGGTCGTTGGCTGTTTTTCAGCGACACCTGCGCATTCCCAATGCCACCAAAAAGATGGCAAGCCACCCAGCTAAAAACCACTCCCACCCGCCCACGCATGACTTGCAACTCGACGTGGTTTTATTTAAAATCGAAAATGCGGAAACACAAAACGCGAAATGAAATGCAAAAACGGAAAACGGAAAACGTTTCTTGATTGTGGCTGTGGCTGTGGCTGTGGCACATGTAGCGTGTCTGCCTGGACCTCCAACTGGGCTGCGTCTGTGAAATGGATGCACTTGCCGCCAGCCGCAAGGTGTATGCAGCTGTATCTGTGTCTGTGTGTGTGTGTGTGTGTCGCGCGGCAAACAAATAAACAAAGGGTTCAACAAAAGCAGCGGCCCAAAGTAATTCAAAACAAGCAAGTTATTGAAATGTTTGAGCGCCCTGGCAAAGCAACTCGGTTTAATCACATCCATTCATCCGTCCATCCACAGCCCTTGTAGCCTCATTGTTTGTTTATTTACTCCTAAACGCCGAATAATCCGCGTATTAAAGAGCTTTTAAGAGACAAGATACTCGGATAACAAGGGCAGGCTAAAGTACATCTGTATATTTCAGTTAGTTTTAATCAAATGTTTTCACAAAAGAAACTAAAGTTTTTAACTGTGTTAAAAGGGAATAAAAAGGGGAATAAATTTATGAACTTTCAGGCAATGCAATGTTCTTGAAAAAATTAATAAAAATCCGATAAATATGAAATTTGTTATACAACAAAATTTATAAATCGAAGTTTTCCTTGAAATAATTTGAATTTTTAAGTTTTTTGGAAAACTGCAGAGTTATTCAGTTGAACGGCATGATAAATATATAGTTATAATAATATACAATAATAATAAATATAAATGATAAATATATAGTCATAATGATATATAATAATAACAAAAGTACGACTCCAGATATGCGGAGAGAGTGGCATCCAAATCTGCTAAGTAAATTCTATTGGTCTTCACTTTTAACTCCAGTATTTACATGTATATTGATGTAGCATTATCTGTTTAAATAAAAAAATTTCTGTAGCATACTTTCAGGCTGCGCAATTAAAGAAAAATATAAAACTGGGAAATCACTTTTAACACCAGTATTTACATGTATATTGATGTATAGCAGTATCTGTTTAAATACAAAACTTTCTGTAGCATACTTTCAGGCTGTGCGATTAAAGTAGGGAAAATGTTAAGAAACATATAATGAACGTTAGATTTATAACACATATTTTGTTAGACATAATAATCTTATGTTATTAATTAAATTCTAAAATTATTAATAATAATAATCGAATAAATTCATTGAAGTGTTCCGAATAACCATTTCAAGTGATAATCGCGCTTATAAAAACAAATTAAACTTCCATTTTGTGCGCCGACTCGCGGGGAGTTGTCTAGTGCCAGGAGACCGCCAGGACATGCCAGACAACTCCTTGAGTCCCATTTGCCTGGGTTCTCGACTGTGGCTTGTGGGTTGAGTTTAGCGAACTTCCGCTTCGGTTAAATGAAGTTAGCTTGTTGCGACTTATGCAAAAGTTTTCAATTGCCTTTTATTATTGTTGTTTGCCTTTTATTTTTATTGCTGCTGCTCCTCGACTCGAGCTCAAGTGAAATGCAAATTTATTCAAAATGTGAAGCAGCCCAAAAGTTGGCACCGCCGTCAGAAAGTTGTCTGGATTAAGGTCTATGACCATAATTAAATACGCATTTTTCCCATTTCATTTGCCACTTATATTTGCATCCCGCTGAATAATTGCCTTTAATTTCGCTGCTAATTCGTCTTGTATTGCAGTCCAACAGATTAACAAGTTTTAAGCACAAATTAAATTTTGTTAAACTTAAAGTTGTGCACAGAAATATACTAAAAAATATTCATATGCATATGTATACGAGGTCTCTTCATGAAGTATAGCGATATGTGTGCCCTCATGTACCTGTGAATGACTCTAGTGATCGCTGTAGGAGGGTTTGTTTCCTGCACCTCGGGAAACCTCTGGAAACGGCAATTGATATTAGTTATTGCAGAAGAAATTGCAATTAAAGGCGTTGCTCTTTGGAGTGACAAACAGTTACACTTTAGCTGCTGCAGCTCACACATATGAGGTCACAGATCTGACTGCAGCATAGATCACTGTTCTCAGCGATCGTGCTCGAACATGTTTTGGCTCGTATTCGTTTTTTGTAAGCTGCAAAAATTGGATCAAAGAATATCACAATATCTGATGGAGCTTAATTGAAAGCACACAAAATAGATATTCATGCAATTCTAAAAACTTAAGTCAATTAACTTGACAATAAATAGTAGTAGACTTACTAATTTCTAGTGAGACATTTGGAGCGTGTGCTAACCAATGTCAGTTTTGTTGATTTTTAATTGTAAAATTTCTTTGTGTGTAAACGAAATTGTGTGTTTAAGTTAAATATAAAGTAATAGGTGCGATGAGTGATGTGCGTCCTTTGGAGTACGATATCAAGTGGGATGAGTGGGAAAATATGCCCATAACAGACATTAACGTCAAGTAAGTAGATTCCAAAATCGATTGAATACACTCATCAACAGGATGCGAACAGGAATTATGACCTCGCTATTGAATTCATGTGGGAACACTCATTTCTGCAGAGCATTGTTTACGAGGGCCTGGGTCTGCACGACATGCCCGAGATGAAGCCCATATATCGCGAATATTGTTTGCATATCTTGCGTAACGAGTGCTCGATTATGATGCTGGACCAAAGCGAAACCAAGATCTTGGCAGTAGCTCTGCTAGAATGGATGACCGATGCGTGGCATTCCTGGTGAGCCCATAAATAGGGCAAGATATTGAAATCTGTTAAAGGTTAAAGCTAATTGATCATTTTGCAGGGTGTTTCTGCCCGCGTTCGTTGGGAAAGGCCTCTTTCAGCGCCTGATCGAACTGAAGGATAACCTTATAGCATCCACCAAGAAGAGCTTGCAGCTGGATAACTTTGATGCCCTGATGGTGCATGAGATTGGCTTCCCAGAAGACTTGTACGAGGATCAGTCCTTCCAGATGTGCGTCTTCGATGTGTTTGGCGTGGTCGCACAGCACATGCATATGCCACGAGTCTGTTTCATTGCCCTTACCACCAAGGATCAGTATGTCGCCGAGCTGGCTGAGTATGAGGAAATCGGCAGATCCATCTATTCCATTTACAAGGTCGAAAATACCCGGCCATTCGACTGTTTGCGCGACTTGGACGAAATGTACGCTTTGCTCTATGAATTGCCAATGGATCCGATCGTCCATTATATGGAATGGCCTGGCTTCGAGGAATTCCACGAAGCGCTCAAGGCACAAGAGCGCAGAGAACGAGAGGAAGAGCTAATGAGACAAAATGAGGCGTGAAACTGCACTCGATATAGTCTTTCTTTTGGCATGTTTTATATGGGAATGTAAGGCTTAATAGAGATTCCTCCTATTTGGCAATAAAATCTAATAAGTTCAGCTATTCAGTCTAATTTAAGCCTTCATTTTGGCAAGTCCCTTTCACGAGTGATACTCTGTTTTCAGACTCAGATTGAATCAAGTAGTTAATATAGATGAAGCCTCATATAAAATGATTTCACTTAGTATTATTAACAAGTTCATGCTGAACGGAAAGCAGCGCTGATCGTGCTGGTGATAATACGGTTGATAAGAATTGTTTATTATGCATTTATGAAGATATTTGTATCGCCTGTTCAAGCAATTTGTATTATAGCAACAGGTACTTGATTTTTGCTGATAAGACTGGCAGGTGGTTGACTACAGCTTCGCATTGACTTTGGCAGCCAGCAGAAGGTTGAGGACATCGTCGGCACAGCCCCAGCAGAGAGTGACTCCACTGCCGCCATGGCCATAGTTGTGTATGAGCAGCTTGTTGCCACGCCGTTCCGCCTCCAGGCGCAGCTGAGTACGACCCGGTCGCAGACCAACCCAATCGAACAAATGCTCCGTGTGCTTGAGCCCTGGCAGAAGGCTGCGACAGCCGTCAATAATAAAGCGCTTGTCCGTCGCAGAGACTTTGGTATCGTAGTCACTCTCCTGGTGAGTGCCGCCGAGCACCACAGACTCGGTGCTGTTCGAAATGACATATCAGTGGCTGGCTTAAAAGGTGTTGAAACAGCGAACTTACTTTGGTATTATGTAGTTGCCATCGTCGCTTTCATCTAGCAGCGCGGTGAACACCCAATTGGCCTTGACGCGACTAACTTGACCGCGCACCGAATACATTTGATCATCGTTCAACAGCTGCTTGGAGCCAAGGCCAGAGCAGTTGACAATCACATCGTAGGAAGAGTCTTTGACAAAACTGTCGAGATCTGTGATTTTTTGCTGCACAATTTGTCCACCGCGGCGCACAAAGCGTTTCATCAGGTACGGCAGCAGCTTGATGGGTTCCGAGGTGTACGTAACAAAGGACATGCCCGAACTGTAGCTCGATCGTTAGAGATTTGAAATGATAGGTCCCTATCAGCACACACTTACGTAAATTTGACATCTCTGCCTTTATTGTACACAGCCAATTGTTGGGCTGTTAGGTCCACAGCGCCATAGACAATATCGCGCCAGAAGTCGCCAACGACGGCATTCGGATCTGTGCTCAGACGCACGCAGGGCACTAGACAAACGCCCGCCTCGCCCGCATCTTCGCTTCGCCAAATCTTCTCCAGGAAAATGTGCATATCGCTTGACCATTTGCTAATAAATAAGCTCGTATAAGCTCGAATGTACTCAGTCAAGTATATTTCGCAATACCTACTGAACTTTTGACTCCTCAGTGCCGCCCAACAGAAACGGTCCCCACAGACCCGCTGATCCATCGCCCGTTGTGTTGGGTGTAAATTGCTCAGATAGGATGGTAACCTGCACATTTAGCTTCTTCTCATCTTGATAGTGCTCCAATATTTTGATGGCACTCGACACACCATTCACACCCGCTCCGATAACAGCTACTCTCAGCATGATTCCGTCCGTGCTGGCTACCCAAGTTACACTCAGCTAAGAGCGTTCAGCGCATAGCCCCTTATCAGCTTGCTGTTTCCACTCATAAGAACCTATTCTTATGAGCTTTATCATTTCGCTCATGACACATCTTCCACCCTGACATTGGACTTCTGCGCTTGTATTTCCAAATTGATTAACAATATTATTATTCTTTTTAAACTTTTACCTTCATCCTCTCCAACAACTCACCTTCTAGCAGTTAGCATTTCCCTGCCCCCTGCCCCTCCCCCCACTCACTTGTGGGGGAAACATTAATCGCTTCTATACTTAAGATCGTCAGAGGACAGGTGCTCAAATTAGATTCACATATAAGGAACCAAACCAAAAATGGCCTTAACATTGAATAAGTACATATGTATTTGAATCGAGCGAATTACCAGATTCTGTTCCATTAACACATTTTAATTTCATTTTCTACACTACGTAAATTTCCACGTCGCCTGAAATCGTATAAAGCAGTTGGTCTCTAGCCATATCTATTTAGTTGTTTCAGTTTAGCCTTACAATGAAATTTGCTGCTGTGTTGTGCGTCTTCTTGGGACTATTTGGTCTATCCTTGGGCTCAAAAGACCGTAAGGATTTTTTAGATTTTGCTGGTGGACGGATTGATGATTGTCTTTTAAATTTCAGCTGTTTGTGAAGAGGAGCCTAGTGTTGTCGGTATGTGTAGAGCCGTTACTCCTAGATGGTCTTACTTTACTGAGTACAACGACTGCAGACTTTTTAACTATGGCGGATGTTCGGGAAACCAAAATAACTTTGTAGATCAAGAATCGTGCGTGGAAACGTGCGTCAATTAGATTTTCACAATGATAAATTATTATTTGTAATAAATTGAATTTGGTAAATAGAAATTGAGAGAGATGACGGAAACCTAATCGATGGCATCAAGAACACATTTAGATACTTCGTGACATAAAACGTCATTTTAACTTATACTAGAGAAACTCTGTTGAACGCTCTTGTAATGAATATTGCCTGTAAAATGCCTTGTTAATACCTATTTCACATCAAGGTTTGAGTGGACCTCATCATGGAATCACCACCATTGAGTTATCACCAGTTCTGCTTATACTAGAGTCTTGATGATATATAATTTAATAGTAAATCTTTTATTGTCTTTAAATATTGTTTTATTATTCAGCTTTATTTTCATAAAACTATAGCAGGCATGGAAAATTGATAAAGTAGGCTCAATCGACGTTCGAACGCTTTTCTAACGAGGCCATGGGCCTTGTTAAATTCGGTAAAGAATATATATACTTTATAAAAATATATATACTTTAAGCTCGAAAGTATGCCATAATTTTTTTAGGATTTGCTCTACTCTGCTCAGCCTGAAAGCTTGACCCGTTTTTTATTTTTTGTGTTTTTTGTTTTCTTTCAATTTCCCATACAAAGATGCAAAATATTTATTTTGTGTCATTTCATATCGTATCATTTAGACAGTTGTGTTTTCTGTAAATAAAGATCTTAAGAAATCGTAAAAAAACTGCATTTAAAAAAATAATTTAAAATATATATGCAGCATTAAGTATATGTCTTTAAGCTAGTCCATAGAAGATCTCATATAAAAATATTAAAACTCTGCCGAGCAGTCCATTCGGCTACTGTGCGGCAGTGAAAGCTCAGCGGTTGAGTTTCTCACAGAAGACGTAGATAGATGACCAAATACATATTCAATTACAAACATTAATTCCGTAATAAAAAACAAGTTAGACAGCTCTAGTCGGGGTGCCCGACTTTACGGAGCTAAAGCATGTATACAGAAACCATAATGAACTCAATGTTATTAATTATAACGAACTCGATTACCTGGAATGTGTTATTAAGGAGTCCTTTGGCCACAGTCCCCTTTTTAGGGTGCGTATGTGCTAAAAATAAATTAAGGTGTTTTTCCAACGTTTTCAAATAAAAAAAATGTGCGCCAAAATAAAAATATCACAACTCAAAAACAGCTGACATTTTCTCATATCGAAAAGAAGGCGATTGTCCGCTCTTATCAAAAATTTATCGAACCATCGCGATACTTTGTAGGTATCGCCAACGTTTAATTCATATATTTATTAGCAAGCTGCGAACTGAAAACGTTTGATATGATAGCTAAAGTGAGTAGTTACAGATTTTGAAACTGCCACCGTGATTCCAACTGGCGGTTTGATTCTTTAAATATGAACAAAATCAACGATAATTAAAATCATGCGAACAATTATGCCGGTTCGCTCATTTGTTGTAAGTCGTTCCGAAGAACTTACTCCGAATGGCTTGGTGCAACTCGATGCTTAACTGATTAACTCATAACAAATTAGCAGTGCATTGCTTTTCGATGGCTACATGGACACAAAATGCACCGACAGGTGTCAGCAAAAGACGACGTTGGAATCTCGAAGGTATTTTCATGCATATCAGACCAAACAATATAATTTTAGAGGTAAATGAATGTCTCACTGTTGCCCTTAGATCGTGCATCACTGAACAAGCTAAAGGAACACATTGCAGAAGAAGGCTGTCCACAGGTGCAATTTGATCTGGGGCGCAAGCTGCTAGAGAATGCAATAGGTATGTAGTAGGCAGCAGCGCTGAATGCTACTAATACTTCCATATCGCAGAGCCCAATATGGCCCATGATAGCCAGAAAGCTGTTTATTGGCTAGTCAGCGCTGCCCAACAAGGTCATGAAGATGCAGTGTGTCTGCTGCGAAAATGCTACAATGCTGGTAATGGAATTACAACGGAAAATGCGGAAGAGGTCCGGCGCTGTCTGGCCATGACGGCGGGAGAGCGAGCCGCACGGAAAGCAGCTCGCGAGCTCTTTGCATGTCTGTCCAATGGCAACGAGCACATTACGCCCAAGCAGCTGGAGCGCAAAATGCGTCGCATTTATAATCTACAACGCAAACGACGACGTCGCGGAACCAATGACGCCTCCTCATCCAACACGGACGAGGAGAGCAGCGAGTGCGAGCACGAGCCTTTGGAAGATGCTATAACTATAGGTCGTGGAAATGTAGAGCGCCGTCGTTTTATAACTGAGGCGCATCTGGTATCGGCTGCCTCAAACTATTCCGCCGGCCGCTTGCCAAGCGTCAACGATACATTGACACTGTCCGTGCCCCATCCGCAGAGTTTGGATCATGTGCCTTGTTTTTACCGCATGATCTTTCATCCGTTGGTTTTCTTTACGCTACTTTACCATCGATTCATTAACTTTATCGTCACGTTGCCCGCCATGCTACCTCTAAGTGCCCGTTGTAGCCTACTCGTTTTGCTGAGCTGGTGGAGCACCGTAGAAGACAGTGAACGTCAAATGCTGCCAATGATTAGCTACTATCTAAGTCTGGGCGTCATGCTCTGGTCTACATGCCGTATGCTCAAGGCCAAACAACAATTTGTGGACTTTCGCATCTGGTCTGGCTTATTTCTAAGCTACGGCGATCACAACATCGAAGCAGAGATGTCGGAGCAACGTTTTCTACGTAACAATATGAAGCCGTATCTGTATTACTTTTGTGCTTTCATTTGTAATTTGATTGTGTATCCATTGGTGGCAGACGCCTGGCTGCCCCACTCCGAGCTGACCATCATCTCGGGGGCTAACACATTCATCACTTTGGGCGTATTTATGTACGCTTCGTCCCAGCTCCTTCCGGACTGGCTAGTTGTCGTTTCGTTTGCTGTCAACGTGCTAGCCAAGTATCCGTACGAATTGGACGAAGTTGTTTCCACCCACTGGCGCTTTCTCGATCTGCGCGTGCCCACCTTTTCCTCCTTTGTAATTGGCAATGGCATCGAGTTTTGTCTTAATTGCCGCACAGCTCTCTACTTACTGATACCTATTCTACTTGTGCTCCTGGCTAAACGCTCTAACTGGCATGGCGTATACACTTACCTAATCCCACACTGCGTCACGCTTAGTTGGCTGCAGGTTTGCATTGTAACCTCACAGAGCGCTACAGTGTTTGGCGCAATGCGCGCAGCTCTCGGCCTAGCTGGCATCGTTCTGTTCTTGCCGCTATTTGGGATTGTGGCATTGCTGGTGCCAGTTTTCGTTGCCATTGATAGCTTGGGCTTGACAAGCGAGCATCTGCGATGGGGCACCACGGCCATTGCCTGCGCTATGGTGGTGCTGATCTCTTGCGTCCTGGCAGTTAATCGCTCCACTCAGAAGTACATCACCATGTTGCAGGTAGGTAGTTATCTTTCTAATATTTGGAACATATACTTTACAATTACATCTGTTTTCAGCTGCTTGTGGGACTCACCACCGCATGTGTGCTAGTATTTCCCTATATGACTTCCAGTTTTAAGGATACTCCTCGATTTAATGCCATGCCCAATGTGGTTTCTAGTCCAACTGTCGGCATGCACTCTTTGTCCGATTCGCTGCAATGGGAACGCTTCTATGAGCTATGCGCCCAGCCTGTTCACGATCAGCCTAACAAAATAAAAGCCCAACTACGCTGCTCCCATCTTAATGGCTTGCATGTGGCTTGGGAAGGCAAAGTGTCGCACGTTCAAATTGCTCGCGTATACAATATACTGGAGGATGTGATAGCCAGTTACCTGCCCACCTTGTTGGGGAAGTTGTTGCGCTGTGTGTATGGCGAAAACATTGCGCAGCATTTCGAGTGTAACCCCCAGCAGGAGACGCACTGCCTCGAGTGGCAGCGTGTAATCAAGACGCTCAGTGCACACACCGGCCAATGCACGCTGCAGCGTTGGAATCGTTACGAGTACGAGCTGCTCGTTCAGGTGGCATCGAGCAACAGCTTGCTAGGACGTGCGACTTTCACATCGGATGTAGTGCTGCGTGCTCATCATGACTTTGGCAATTTTACGCAGAGACTGCATCGCGGCGATCGGATATCGTTCTATGGCACTCTCCACAACTCGCGCCTGTTAGCTAACAATGTGCGCGAACACTTTGTCCTCGGTTCCAGCGCTCCACCTCAGGTGGACCTGAAAACCATAGAATGCTTGGACTGCAAATCCCCGGATCTAGGCAGCGTGAGCATACAGCGCATGCAGGTTGCTTCCCCGGTGGATGCACGCATGCAGGATCTCATGCGGGGCATAAAGTATTTGTTGAATGCCCTACTAAGTCCATTAATAACGTTTAAATAGATACCCAAAATAGTCATAGAATATTATTAATTATAAACTGTTTTATTGTTTTTTTTTGACTTGAAAGTTATTCCATTAGTACAATGGGTGTAGCCTCTTGTACATTGCTAATGAGGTCGCCATATTTATGCTCAGACGCCGAAGGATCATCACTCTGCTTTAGGTCAGAAATATGTTGGTCCAATTCAAAAAGCTGGCCGAATTGTAAATGTGGACAAGCGACGCACGTAAAATTTGCTGTAATATTGACAGCACACTGTTTATCCTTAACTTTCTTCACCCTTAACTTGCGTTCACGTTTAGTTCTTGGAAGAGAGCTAAAAGAAGTATCCACAGCTTGCAAATCAATTTGGCAGGTATCCAAGAAATCTTCGGTCAAGTTTTGGTCTGCACCTGTCAAATGCAACTCGCAGGGCTCGGGACAAGTAAAAAGCTTAGGTGAATTGATGAGCAACTGCACGCCTGTTAAGAGTAGATGGCGATGGTTTGGGTCATCAATGCCCAACAAGATGAGATCGCTAGTCAAAATCTGTTTGCATTGAGCAATAGTTATGTATCCACGTTCTGTAAAGCAACGCACGTACTTCTCCATGGTGAGCAAGACCAGCCATTCACGCACTTTTTTTGTGCACATTTCGGATGATTTAGAATAATTAAGAAAAGGAAGCAACATCTGTCACGTTAAAATTAGGTTAAGGCGCGCAATTCAATTACGATACTTAACGATGTGAACTATCCCAACTTAGTTATCGATAATCCGATACCTAATAAACTTAAAAGATCTAGTTGCAGTGTTGGTCATATCGAGTAATAAAAGGTCAAATTGAAACTAATAAAATTAATAAATAATACATTTTCCTAACTTTCAAAATATCGGTATTGATATAAAGTTATCAAAATTAAATAAAATGAGCTGTAAATAGGATTAAACCGCATTTAATAAATTTAGAATATTTAAAATTAATATAAAAAACAATACATATTCAATTTTAATATAAAATGTAAACAACGATAATTGTGAAAGTGACATGCATTTGTCAGTAATCTTTTAGGCAATATACATCGATATTTTGTGCTATCATCCCTAGTACAAAGTATATTTAACAGCCGATACGAAAGGGTTGTTGGTGCCGCGAAGTCGCCGAATGGATTGCTCGCCAATTTTAATATAAATATAAATATAAATATATATATATATATATATATATATATATATATATATATATATATATATATATATATATATGTATATATGTATATATCCATTACAGACTGTTCCGCTTACTTATAAATATACCAAAACCACAAAATTTGCCATTCAAAATATTTACAGGGTATCATATATTTGCATCGAATGAGTTACCTAATTCAGTTCCGTCATCAACTCTTTTAATTACTTTTTTTACACTAAATAAGTTTAAAGATTTCCGCGTCGTCTGAAATCGTGTAAAGCAGTTGGTCTGTACCCATTTCTATTCAGTTGTTTCAATCTATTATATAAAATGAAATTTGCTGTATTATTTTGCGTCTTCTTTTTATTGTTTCGTCCATCCGTCGGCCCAAATGATCGTAAGGGTTTTTTAGATTTGGCTGAAAAATTGATGACTTTCTTTTAAATTGCAGCTGTTTGTGATAACGAGCCTGGTGTTGTCGGTCCGTGCACATTATTGATTCCTAGATGGGCTTACTATCGCAATAATAACACCTGTGAATATTTCACCTATGGTGGCTGTCGTGGAAATGCAAACAGTTTTCATAACCAATATCGGTGCGAGCAAAAGTGCAAGGATACATAGGAAGGCTGAAGTGGAAATAATATCTGTGGAATGTTTTTTACGTATTTAAAATTTAATTAGTCAAAACTTATTAGCTTTTCGTATAGGTATATATATATATTTGAATCGAATGAATTGCCTGATTTAGTTCCACCATTAACACTTTAATTTCGTTTTCAACACTAATTAAAGGAATGCAGCAAGTCAAGGAATGGACTGCTCATTATACGTGAAACATACAATAAAATTTAATTTTGTAGTAATACAGCTCTCGAATGTTGTGTTTCTGGACTTTTCACCTCAATGAAATTCGAAGCAAACTAATCACTAAAATTATAAGTTATAGAAATATGAAATGTATATAAAAAATAGCTCTTATTTGAGGGGATAGAGATCTGAAACTATTATTTAAACCGTGAAAGAGTATTCAGCAGTCGGTAGCGCACTAATGTAACATGGTTACTTGTTTAATTTTGTTTTCTGCTCTAATTAAATGCGAAGAATTAAAAATCGTATATATACCTTGATCTACATCCCCATCCATTCAGTTGCTTCATTCAGCCCTTAAAATGAAATTTGCTGCAATCCTCTGCCTCTTCTTCGGATTACTTGAGCTAAGCGTAGGCAGATCGCAGAATCGTAAGGATTTCATAGATGATGATGAAGACGGATGATTAATTTGGTTTCTATCTAATTGCCAGCTGGTTGCCTTGAGAAGCCTGCTGTTGTAGGGGTGGGCAGTGAGTTCTTATATAGATGGACTTTCTTTGCTAAAGTGCGCGACTGCAAGCTGTTTATCTTTAAGGGACGTAAAGGAAATGGTAATAGATTCCTTACTCAAGATATATGCGAGGACGAGTGCATGTGGTAGATCTCAATAATGAAAGACTACTATTCGAAATAAATTGAATTTGTTATATGAACATTTTATATTGACCTTAACATTTATTATAGGAATATATATATATATACTTGATTCAGTTCCATTAACACGTTTTAATTTCATTTTCCACACTACTAAAATGTGAAAGTTTCCACATCTTCTAAAATGGTATATAGCAGTTGGTCTCTAGCCATATCTATTCAGTTGTTGTTTCAGAGGAGCCTTGACAATGAAATTAGCTGCTGTGTTTTGCATCTTCTTGGGATTATTTGGCCTTTCATTAGGCTCAAAGGATGGTAAGTGTTATTCAGGTGGAAATGACGGATTATTTTTATTTAAATTGCAGCTGTTTGTGAAAAGAAGCCTGGTGTTGTCGGTCCGTGCTCATTATTTATTCCTAGATGGACTTACTATCGCAATAATAACACCTGTGAATATTTCACCTATGGCGGCTGTCGTGGAAATGCAAACAGCTTTCATAGCCGATATCGGTGCGAGGAAAGGTGCAAGGAGAGATTAGAAGACTGAAGTGAATATAAAATCTGTGGAATGTTTTTTTACGTATTTAAAATTTAATTAGTCAAAACTTATTAGGTTTTCGTATAGGTATATATATATATTTGAATCGAATGAATTGCCTGATTTAGTTCCACCATTAACACTTTAATTTCGTTTTCAACACTAATTAAAGGAATGCAGCAAGTCAAGGAATGGACTGCTCATTATACGTGAAACATACAATAAAATTTAATTTTGTAGTAATACAGCTCTCGAATGTTGTGTTTCTGGACTTTTCACCTCAATGAAATTCGAAGCAAACTAATCACTAAAATTATAAGTTATAGAAATATTAAATGTATATAAAAAAAAACGCTCGGCATATATACTCATGAAGACAGCACATGTCCATAAATATATGGTAGACATATCTACGCCCATTGTGGGCGTGGCATATCGGAAATCAGGTAGTTGTATTTTGTAGTTTTACTGCTAAAAACTTTGACGATTGTGTTACTGTTGACCGCCTTCTTGCGTCATTGAAAAAAAAACTATATTTTCCAAAATTCTAGAGCTACACTCCCAAAATTTGACATTCAAAGTACCGCCTCCGCTCCGTCTTGAGTCTTACCAAAAATTATATACCATTATCATTTAAACCGTGAAAGAGTATTCAGCAGTCGGTAGCGCACGATTGTAACAGGGTTACTTGTTTAATTTTGTTTTCTGCTCTAATTAAATGCGAAGAATTAAAAATCGTATATATACCTTGATCTACATCCCCATCCATTCAGTTGCTTCATTCAGCCCTTAAAATGAAATTTGCTGCAATCCTCTGCCTCTTCTTCGGATTACTTGAGCTAAGCGTAGGCAGATCGCAGAATCGTAAGGATTTCATAGATGATGATGAAGACGGATGATTAATTTGGTTTCTATCTAATTGCCAGCTGGTTGCCTTGAGAAGCCTGCCGTTGTAGGGGAGGGCAACGACTTCTTATATAGATGGACTTTCTTTGCTAAACCGCGCGACTGCAAGCAGTTTGTCTATTTGGGACGTAAAGGAAATGGTAATAGTTTCCTTACTCAAGATATATGCGAGGACGAGTGCATGTGGTAGATCTCAATAATGAAAGACTACTATTCGAAATAAATTGAATTTGTTATACGAACATTTTATATTGACCTTAACATTTATTATAGGAATATATATATATACCTGATTCAGTTCCATTAACACGTTTTAATTTCATTTTCCACACTACTAAAATGTGAAAGTTTCCACATCTTCTAAAATGGTATATAGCAGTTGGTCTCTAGCCATATCTATTCAGTTGTTGTTTCAGAGGAGCCTTGACAATGAAATTAGCTGCTGTGTTTTGCATCTTCTTGGGATTATTTGGCCTTTCATTAGGCTCAAAGGATGGTAAGTGTTATTCAGGTGGAAATGACGGATTATTTTTATTTAAATTTCAGCTGTTTGTGATGAGATGCCCGGTGATACGGGTCCGTGTTTTAGACACATCCCTAGTTGGACTTACTTTCCCGATGATAGCACCTGCAGACTTTTTTATTATGGCGGATGTTTGGGAAACAGCAATAACTTTGAAGCCCAAGAATTGTGCGAGAAAAAGTGCAAGACTTAGATTTTCATAGTGAAAAATTATTATTTATAATAAATTGAATTTGGTAAACAGAAATTGAGAGAGATGACGGTAGTTTTACTTGGAAACCTAATCAATGGCATCACGAACACATTTAGATACTTCGTGGCAAAATACTGTTTTATTATTGAGTTTGCTTTATTTTAATAAAACTTTGGCTGGCATGTAAAATTAATAAGGTAGGCCTTGACTTCTGACTCAATCGACTTTCGAACACCTTTCGAATGAGGCAATGGGGCTACCAGAATAGAACGTTTAGTTTCCCTCCCTTCGAACCTTTCGCTTCAACTGGCTTCTAAATTAATTCAAAATTTTTATTTTCCTTTGAATATTAATCTCAATCCATAAAATTTCATAAAAATGTGCGGAGGCGGTTGTGGCTGTGGTCCATGCGGAGGCTGTGGTCCCTGTGTGTTCATGTAGTCATTGGCCATGCTGTGACCACCTCCATTTGTCGAAAGCGGCATTCCCCACTGGGTGTTTATTAGCCTTCCACTGTATTATTCTTGAGCTTGGCGTGTCACAGCATGGCTGAAGAGCATCATTTGTCAACAGATTCTAATGAGATCCTTCCCTTCAAAGGCAGCGTATGTCCCACGCGCTACCTGAAAAGATCAGAGGAGCATATGCCTTGCGTGTGGTGTGCGCCGTGCAAGGCTCATTGCTACAACACCCCACCCAAGTGCGGTTGCTAAGGGCCTACGCACTTCGCGTCTGTACGGAGTAATCTTTAAGGAAAATTAAATAATTTAATACCAACTCCAATCCTCCTAGTTCTATTTTAACTGTCGACAATTAAGTGGCAATATCGTGAGTATCTGATTTTTGTAATATAAAAGATCGGCTTTCCGTTGAACAGTTCCCCCAGAAAAAGCAACTCAGGACGAAGCATTGCGACGCGTCGCGAAGAAACATTTACAAAGGTCGTCTCGAGTTAAATATGCAAACCTGTAGAGGAAGCGAGGCCAGACAGACGGACTCCAGGTGTTTGATTGTAGTTGTGAAAGTTTGGGGCTCTAATCAATTTGGAAGCAAGTTGGACCTACAAGGATGATAGAAAGCTTTTGAGTTTGAGCATACTTTCGGGACGCTTCGAATATAAAACCATTGCCGTAAAGCATGGTAAATACACTAAGCAAAACTCCTATATATCGAGTGCCCCGACTCGGTATATTTAAAAAGAAGTTGGCCAGAATTCGAGTACGCGAAAATTATACAACCGGAACGAAAAAATGCAAAGCTAGCTCAATGGTGAATTTTAATTTAAGTATTAAATTCTAAATCTTCAGTCTTACACACAACTTGTTGCCTTTGAAATAATAAATTTTGGTATTGACAAAAATATGTTTTCTTCTGCTTAAGCTAGAATTGCATTTTGAAGCCTTGATTCGTCTTCAGGCTCATCAACGTTATGATTCTATCTATCTAGTATTTTGAGAATGCAGTCGTCAGGTCAGATGAGCAGGTAACTCAGCTGTCGCGGAGCTTCTCAGGCTGCCTAATCTCTATAAACCAGAATGCGAGTTTATCCCTGCCTTCATTTACAAAAAGGCGTAACACTTTCTGCTTAAGCAACTTGTGTAAAGTTATATATAACATGTAATGCACCCTATTTTATATGGAAATACAGCTTGTTCCGCTAACTCTAATATACCAAATCCACAAAATTTCCCATTCAAATTTATATATGAATGAATTACCTGGTTCAGTTCCGCCTTTACCACGTTTTAATTTCATTTTCTACGCTAATTGTCTAATTTTCAGAATAAATCGTATAAAGCCGTTGGGCTCTAGCCATATCTATTTACTTTTTTAGTGGAGCCTTTACAATGAAATTTGCAGCTGTGCTTTTCGCCTTGGGATTATTTGGGCTAGCCTTAGGCTCAAAGGATCGTAAGGATTTTATAGATTTAGCTGAAAGATGGCTGATTTGCATTTAAATTTCAGCTGTTTGTGATGAGACGCCTGGTTTTGCGGGTCAGTGTAGAGCGTTGGCATTTTATTGGACATACTATCCTGCGGAGAACGAATGCAGACTATTTAAGTATGGAGGATGTCAGGGAAATGGCAATAGTTTCTTAAATCAGGAAGCGTGCGAAGAAAAATGCAAAACGTAGGAGAGTTGCATAATGAACTAAAATGAAATATGTTCGATTAGATCATTGGTTGAATCTTTAGAGTTATTGCTTAAATATAATAAAATGGTGTCTGCAAAAAGAAATGTGCATCCGCCTGGAATCGACAGGCGGACAGACAGGTAAACGGACTGGATTAGACGCGATTGTTGATCCAGAAGAAGAATATTTCAGTTCATGGGGTTTTCTAGCATACCTTAATTCGTTTTTCCATGACCTAGGGTATACAAGTTAAAAGCCCTAAGCAGGCCATGAATTCAAAGTTCAGTTGATTTTGAAATTTTATGGAACGAGGCTGTGAGGCTTACTCGAATAAGTCATTAGTTCTCTTCCGTTCGATCAATTCACTTCAACTAGCTTCTAAATTTAAAAAGAAATTTATTTCTTGAGAAAACATCATCGTCAAAACTAGGTTTCACGAAAATGTGCGGAGGCGGCTGTGGAGGTTGTGGACCATGCGGAGGATGTGGCCCGTGCAGTCATTGGCCATGCTGTGGACCGCACAGTCCACCTTGCGGTGCGCCATCACCCATCCCATGTTCGCCTGCTCCAGGCGTGTGCTGCCCGCCGTTGCCCGAAGGCGGCATTCCTGATCCACGCGTTTGGAATTGTTGGAATACACCACCCACCTATCCATGTAAGTAGGCGTACCTGCTATTCGGTAAGGGGAAATTATTTCATCGCAGACAAAAGCTCGTGCCTCTGGCGTGCTGATACACCCTGTGTCTAGTGTGCGCCACGCAAAGCTCCCGAGACTGCGCTGATTAAATTAATCTAAAACTTTTATTTTAGGTGGATTTTAAACATCGTGAAAGCGTCAATAGTGTGGGTGCTGTCTGTGTATATATAATATAATATATATATATATATAAACAGCAAAAAAAGCAAATCCATGTAGGCATCGATGGATGTGTTTGTGAAACTTCTGGTTTTAAAAGGTTTGGAAGCAAGTTGGAAGAAGACTGAATTTTAAATTGTGAAATTAGAAAAGTAATTTTGACTCGGAACTTTGGCAAATTATATTTGGAACACCATAAAAATATTTGTTTTAGTTTCCGGGACTTTTAAACTAAACTAAACTATAAATAAACTATAAATAATCCATTTCCCATTTGAATTACACAAATAAGACAATCTGAAATAAAAACCGTCATATTTAGAAAGAAATTATTTTCGTTATCGATAACTTGACGATAAGAAATTTGGAATTTAAGGTCGATTTTAGTATTTTTTCTTTGCTTTCGTATTCGAAAGTTCTGGTCGCACTCAAAAACATCATTAATGACTAATGTATGGTTGACTAATGCTGTAATCAATTATTGCATTATGATATTTTTCAGCATTACAAATGGTCTATGATAAAATGACCCAATTGAAACTGTAAAAGGGCAGTTACACGCAATCTTTATTGAATGGGTGTAAGATATAATTATATATACATATATATATGTAATGTAAATATTCATACGTTTTTAAAGAATATTGAATGGATAGGTGCTTATAACTGAAGTTCTGTACAATTGTATGCGTCATTAAAACTAAAAATATTCGCTTAGAGATAAAATCTATATAAAATGTTTTGTAACTTTAAGATCTATTTCCTGGCCGTGTCCCTTGCATCTTGCTCCGTTTCCAATTCTAAGATGACATTTGTCAAAATCTTTTTCGCCTGTATCTGCAGATCACGATCCAGGCGCTTAATGCTCTGTATAATGAAATTGCCATAATGAAACAATTCATTGGGCTCCGGATTGCTTCGCTCGGCAGATGCTGCAATGCTATTGACATTGGCAATCGAGAGTCCACTTTCATTTAGAGTTCGTCTCTTCTTGGGAAGTGGGGATGGTTCTGAGTCGATAGCAGCATATGTGGTATCCGGTGAGTTCTTTAAGGCTGTATTTTCTATTGCAGATGGTTTAAATTCCTCCTCTTCCTCCTCTATAGCAACATGCGGGCTTTGAACATCGTGTGGATTGAAGGACTCTTCTGTATGAAAGCTGCTTTCATCCATCATTTCCATTTTCTGCAAAAAGAAATTAAATTTAAGTTTGTGTAGTATCAATGTGCACATATAAAAACACTTGCTCACTTACGCTTATGTTGCCATTCATAGAGCTATTTAAGGATAGCCTGGAGGGAGGTATTTGCAATATGAATTCCATTTTGGATTTGTTTTTCCAATCAAGTAGCGAGCTTTTCTGGTGCATATACTTGTAGTACGATTTAAGGTTGTTCCATTTTCTGCATACATCAGCTGCGAAAAAGCAATACAATTAAACTTAATTCCATTAACAATTATGTTAATATACTTGCTTTGCACAACATGAACTGCTGGGTTGAATTTAATGTTTATGTCGTCCGTCAATTTTTGCCAGAAATCGTTTTTTAGGTGTCTCAATTTGTAGAGCGGACTCGCTGGATTCCATAGATATTCCGCAGCTCGAACGTTTTCAATAATAAACTCTGTTATTTCATCGGTAAACACTGTCTCCATTTTTGATCCGATTTCTTCTTTATTTATTCTCAGCTCCGTTTGCTGTCCACAAAATTTGTTGGCGTTCAACATCTTCATAATTACAATAAAATAAAAGAGGGAAAGAATATGTGTGAAAAGGTCAGCTGCATTTGCTTTGGGATTTATAGCGTTAACTGGCATGGTCATACTTGTATGGATTTAAATGGTTGACAGTATTTTTATTTTTTTAAGAAATGGGTATTGTACATGTTTAAATAAGTAATTTAATGGATATATAAATAAATAAATATATTTATTAGAATTGCAATTTCTACTTTATCTAAATTTTATTTTATGTAATTTGCTGCATTTTTGTAAGTGTTCTTACCTTATGTGTGTGTATTAAATAAATATGTATATAGGTACAATTTCGGTGTTTTATGTTTCACGCTATATATTTCTTAGCTGGACCCTATTAATTTAGCTTAAACACGAAATATGTTGGTGTTTAGCTTGTTCATAAAATTATTAATTACAGAAACTATTGATTACAGATAATTATAGAAACTATTGAAGCATTTCTACCGTTGGTTAGTATGGTCACACTATTTGTAATGACAAATAAGCGAATTGCAGTTGGCCTTAACCGCATTTTATGGAGGACATTTATCATACTTTTATATATATTTAGCTAATTAATTTAATATAATTTGAAATAATAAATATGTATATATTTTGTAATATTGAAGAATGCTTTATTTATATACCGCCTCTACAGAATGGTTCAAAGTGGAAGGTAATTTCCATTATTTAAACAAAAAATTTAAAATTATAAAAAAAATTTATGTATATATAGTAGGCCTTAACGTGTGCCTGCCTGTCGGATTTCAGATTTTCTTCATAAGGCTATGAGCCTTTGAATTAATTACACTACAGCATTTCTCTGTATTTCGAACCTTTCTTTCGGCCAAATTTTTTTCAAAATTCAAAATTTTAGTTTTTTTTATTATTAAATTTAGCTAAGTGAGTTAAAAATTGTTTGAATAGATCTTGATCATTATTTCCTTTTAATATTTTTTAATATGCAGAAAGTACAAATTTAGGATGTGCAGTCCATGTTGCGGACCTTTTGAGGTAAGACCCTTGGTGTCATTGTGTGTGTCTGACCCAGTCAGATATAGCTCGTATCGGTCTGGACACGTTAAAAATCTGATTGCTTCTCCTCAATAGCCCAGGGGCTGTCGCAGTCGCGAGCTGCGGTGTGGCATTTTATACACATCTTGCGATTGCGTGAAGCGGAATGGTTTGCAGGACAAGTGCCCACGAGCTGCATGCCAAGGTCGCCCGCCTTGCATGTGCTTCCCGTTCCCCACCTGCGGACCGGCATCGTTCCCGTTGCGGTATGCCAATATGACGATGGGTGTCAACAACAAACGCATGAGGTGTGCAGCGACTGCTGCGACTTGTGCGGGAGGCGGTGGATTACCGCGTGCTTGTGGCGGCTGTTCTGGTTTGTTCTTGCCCAGATTGGATCTAACCTGATACCCAAATATCCACTAATATATTAATACCTAAATTTCCAGGCTGTTAATTTTCAGACCTTTGTATTACCTGGATATCCGATGCCATCTTCTCTTTCGCATCGTTGAAAGCTCACAGCTATAACATGAATGAAGGTCTGCGCATTGGGTGCTGTCATAGTCGTTCTCGTCTGCCTGAGTATTGTTGTTTTTAAAATTAATTCAAAAATTCGGCTCAAATTCAAATTCACCCCACGTATTGACCATTTCAATATTAGAATATATTTATAATTATAATTAATATTGCTTTAGGTTTGAGCGGCCAACATTACTTGTGAAACACGCAATTATTGTTCGGTGTTAAATTTATAATTCAAATGGTCGTATAAACTACGCAATAAAGAAAGATTCGAAATGCATATTTTAAATGTTTAAAATTTCCGTACGATACGTATAATGTGCCAAAATGGGACACACATCCCATTTAAATTAACGGTGTAACCAGTCGAAAACTACTTTTTGACGGTATGACCGCGCGCGGTCATTTTATTTTTCGTTAAGTAGTATGCAATATTAATGTGTCGTTGAGTCAGCTGAAAAGTGCTACCCAGCAAAAGTTTCGTTCAGGAAACATGGGCGCGAAGACGTTTAAATTTAAATTTAAATCTACAAAGAAGTAAACGAAGGTTATATTTAATTGAAATACGAATGAAAATTAAACAATTAAAACCTATTTTATATATCATTGAAATGTCAACAATTTATTTTGATGCAGGATTGGCATTAACTTAAATAGCGTTTATAGATTTATTAGAATTATCAATTATATACAGTGATTAAATACTAATTCGTGTTCCAATTTGCGTTCGTTTTTTTTTCTGTTCGGTTAGGTTAATGCTTACAGCTAATGGATGGAATGCTTTAAGTTTTCTACATAAAACAACGTGGGGCGTTCGTCGGCTAAGATAATCTCGTCTTTAAAAATATTTTTTATGCAAACTTAAAACTACGTTGCGAATCTGAGTTAAAGGGAGTGTGAAGGGGCGTGAAGAGGCGACTGCAGTACGGTCATTACATGGCCGTCTCCAGGGGCTGGCTGTGACTGCGTCCGTTGGTATGAAGAGGCGCCAGGCCGCCGTCGCCGACCTCGCTATCAAAATCCGTCTCGAGCAGCGCCTCCGACTTGGAGCGATGATAGGGATTGGCAGTGGCCAGCGCTGTGGGTGATGTGGGCGACGTGGGCGACGTAGGCGACGCCTCCTGCGAGGCCGTTTGGTAAACAGTCTTTGGGCGTGTCGCGTGCACAACGGGCACAGCCGGCGGCTTGGTCAGCGGCTTGGCCAGCGGTCCGGGCGTACGATAATGTGATGTGGGCGCCTTGCTGCTGCGCACGGCCGTATAGTAGGAGTCCGGACGCCGCATATCAGCCGGCGACGGCTGCTGCGGCACGGCGGGTGCTGGCCGATAGAGCGACGACTCCGTGGAGAAGTTGAACTGGTCCAGCTTTTGATCAAAGGGCAACGAATCGCCGCTGCTGCGTTGTGGCATGAAGCTGCTGTGCGAGCTGCGCTGATATTCCGGCAAGTTCTGCTTCAGCTCGCTCAGGAAAGCCAAGCCTGGCTGGCCACGCCTACCGCCTACGCTGCTGCTGCCGCCCGTGTCCGGTCGCAATGGCAACGTGCTGGCATTGCCATAGTAATCAGAGCCCACCTCCTCGGCCTCTGCGTCCGTCTGATGAATGATCGGCGTATCCTCGGCGACGCTAGTGCTGATGGAATTGGCTCGAGTGCCGCCGCCATAGGTCGAATTATCACGGAAGCCCTCGTTCCGATAGCTCAGCTCAAAGGCATCCGGCTGCAGAGCGGCGGCAGCGGCAGCCGCTGCCCGAGCACGATGCGAGCTGCCCTTCGATATGGTGGCCACCTTATGTGGCTGCTCCTGGGCAGCTGATCCGGGACGCAGGGCATTCTGATTGACATACTCGTTGTAGTGCGGCTTCTGCTCGTAGCCCTCATAGCTGCCCGCCTCTGAGCTGAGCACGCTCTTGTCCATCGAGTCGATGGAGCCGTTGGCCACCATCTGCTTGTAGTCCTGGCTCTTGGACAGCGTGCCATTGCTGGACATGTTCTGAGGCGGGAAACAAACGAAACAAAGCAAAAACGAAACGAAAAAACGAAAGGAAAACTCAACTCAAGATGCAACTCAAAAGGATTTCAATAATAAAGAAAATCATACGTAATTGGGGCGACGACGCAGCGAGCCCTGCGGATCGATGCTGTTCAGGCTGCGCAAGCTCTGGCGGATGCTGTTGCGTCGCTGCAGGCGCTGCACATGGCGATGCTTGGACTTGGCGAACCAGCAGAAGGCAACCAGAATCAGCAGAATGATGGCCAGCACAAAGGCCGAGATAATACTTATGGCAAAGATGTCCGCGCGCCACGACAACGGATCAATGATGACCTAAGGGAGGCATTTATATGGTTATCTATAGAGGAGCTACTTTTGGTCGACTTACCCTCGGATCCATTTCACAGATGAAGCCACGCTCCTTGCTGCAGTCCTCCACGTCGATCTCGCCAAAGACAAAGCTCGTGCAGCGCTCGATGTGATTGTAGTCCTGTATCCAGACCTTCTCCGGATACTTGAGGTGCCGCATCTGGCTCTGCAGGTACTTCCACAGCGTGATCTTGTCGGTGCGCAGGAAGGGCATCGTTGAGTTCTCCGAGCGACAGAAGTCGCGCGCCTCATGGAACGTCATCGGCGCGCCCACATAGATGAAGCAGGTGTCGTGCACCAAGGCCCAGCCCGGCGGGCACTTGCCATCCAAAATAGTCTCGTTGTTCATTTGGAAGGGCACCGCCAGCACCTCCAGCAGCATGGGATCATCTAATACACAACGTTTGAAACTCTTTCGACCAAAAAGTAATAACCAAGGTAGTTACCATATTTATCCCTAATGCGCGACTGCACCGAGATGGTATTGTTGTAGCTCCAGTAATTGTGACGCGCATCGATCTTGGAGCTCCACGTTTCGAAGGTCCTTAAGCGAAAGTCAACGAGAATTGAGTTTAGTCGGGAATTCTAATCGGGTATTGCGTGTGCAATGCTTACCTGTTTTCATAATCAAAGCTCATACTACGTGTGGAGGAGTACAGAGGAGGAGAGAGAGGTAAGAGACAAGAAAGAAATATAAATAGGGTTTTTATAGAGAAATACTAAGATCTGATTAAGTTTTTAATATTAAATAGAACATTTCCTGTCATCAACAACAAGCGAACATGGAGTTCTTTATGTGGTTGTTCCTAGTCCTAGCTCCTAGTTCCACCTTCTAGATGTCCTAGATATCTCAAGAGATGTAAGTAACTGAGCTAAGAGACTAAGGACTAAGGACTAAGGACTAAGGACTAAGGACTAAGGACTAAGGACTAAGGACTAAGGACTAAGGACTAAGGACTAAGGACTAAGGACTAAGGACTAAGGACTAAGGACTAAGGACTAAGGACTAAGGACTAAGGACTAAGGACTAAGGACTAAGGACTAAGGACTAAGGACTAAGGACTAAGGACTAAGGACTAAGGACTAAGGACTAAGGACTAAGGACTAAGGACTAAGGACTAAGGACTAAGGACTAAGGACTAAGGACTAAGGACTAAGGACTAAGGACTAAGGACTAAGGACTAAGGACTAAGGACTAAGGACTAAGGACTAAGGACTAAGGACTAAGGACTAAGGACTAAGGACTAAGGACTAAGGACTAAGGACTAAGGACTAAGGACTAAGGACTAAGGACTAAGGACTAAGGACTAAGAACTAAGGACTAAGGACTAAGGACTAAGAACTAAGGACTAAGGACTAAGAACTAAGGACAAATGACTAAGGACAAATGACTAGGGAATAATGAAGTTTAGGCTTCATATATTTTCAGACTAGATATTGTGAGCCTTAACTAGCCAGAGTCTTAAAGCTGATAGGGAACGCATTCCTTTTTCTATTATAGTAATCAAGACTAGACCTAGACCGAGTTCTTTTGCAACTCAAGAGAGGCGTGTGCAGTAAGCTTATTGAATAGATAGCCACGAAAACTTTTCAAACATAAAACAGTTCCCCCAATTTAGTGAACACTCACATGGAGTTATTGACAGTCAGCAGCTCGTAGTCGTTCTCGTAGTTCTCGAATATATTGTCCACATATTGCTGGCCTGCAGTGCCTGCCACAATGGTGGCGCGAGACATCCAGTTGGTGGCCACGTTTCTAAGCATGAAATGAGTTGAGAAATCATTTTCATTTCAGGCACAAATTAGTTACCTGTAGAAGCCGTTGTGGGCCGTCGTCTGATAGATCTGCAGTCGGACTTTCTCGAAACCGGACACTTCCATGATGCGACCACCCACATTGCTGTGGACGTAGTTGTTGCTGAAGTTGGAGACGACCTGGCAGAGTCGAATGACCTCCTCATAACCAGCCATGTTCTGGGCAAAGTAGTTGCGGTAGAGCTCGACTTCCTGATAGGGCGACGATTGGCGGCCCTCCACGTACAAGGCCGGACGATTGCGATTCCGCATGAACAGATTGTGATGCACAAAGCCACGCAACGATGTTGCAGTGCCGCGCGAGTCGGCACGTATGCGTAGACCGCCTTGATTCTCCAACAGCAAGTTGTTCTATAGAATGTTTTACAAGCCGAGGTCAGTAAGTTTCTAAGGAAGAGCGGGATCTTTGGGGTAACATACCATAAAGTAGAGAGAGTTCATGTTCTGCACGTCGAGATTGAGCGCCGAGGCGCAGGTGGAGAAATTGCCGTAAAGCTGCTTACAATTCCTCTCAATGCGATTGCCTATCAGAGTGAGCGTTGGCGTCACTTCTCCAGCTGAGGCGTAGTTAACGGCGCCCTTCATAGCACCCGAAATGTGGGAGTCTGTTATGTTGTGCAGGGCATCGCGATCTGCGTGAGAGGCGAAAGGTTAGACAAATACTTCAACCTAAGCCGGGTGGACTTACATTGGCCCAGAGTGGAGATGGGCACCGTGACGACCTCTGCTATGAAGCCATGAGTCTCCGGAGCTCCACTGGCGACCAGCTGAAGACTCAGCGTGGGACCCTTTGTCTTGAAGAAGGAGCGTTGGTTGCCCGTGTCCGATTCGATTTTGCCCAAATACGTAGCTGTCACATTATAGATGTCCCCGTCGTAAAGCCTAATGAAATCGGT